TAAGGTGCCATATGTTGATACCATTTTCGATCTCATCCCGGCACCTATGGTTTGGATATAGTTTTTCTTATCAAATTTGAAAGAGTTTTGTTCAGTATTAGGTCTATACTATAAATAAGGAATTCGTTTGGGAATTTGGGGTGTAATATTTCATGGGGTATGTTGTTATAGAGGCCGCTAATGTTAAATGTTGCCATAAGTGTTCCTGAATCGACTTTTGTGGTATTTTGTGTAGCAGAACAATTTTCAGTTATCGCACGCTGCTCTGAATAACGTCTCCGACTTTTGGATTCTTACTGTGCCACTCCAATTTTATGCAGAAGCTGCACAATATCTGTACAGCACACCAAGTCCTTCTCTTCAAAAAAAAAACGAACGTACTCTTGCGGTAGAAGGTGAGGCGAGCACTGATAGAGAGGAGGTTTTTTTTTCTTTCAATCTTGATACCAACAGTTCAGCAGAGGACTTTGACAAGCTGATATCGCGAATTAAATCATTTAGTTAGTTGTGAGAAAAAGGATGTGAAGTATCATCGTTAAAAATGTCGTCTACTTCTTCTTCTTCTTCTTCTTTCACTGCCATATAGGATGATTGATATTACATAGCAGCTGATCATTCTTTTTTTGTTTCTAATGATTTCTTTTCTGTTTTTAACACTTTGGTTAGTTTCTGGAAGGTATCTTTTGCTATTCCAATCGGCGTCACAATTTTCGTCTCTCGTTAAAACAATTCCCAGATATTTAAACATGTGTACTTTTTTTATTTTATCATCTACAATTCGTAATTCCCATCTTGAATTTTATCTCTAGACTTAAACCATGTATTCTCTCTCTATATTCGTCTTACCATTGATAGCTAGTCCTTTCTACTCGCTATCTTTTTCTACATTATGTAGGAAGTCCTCTAGTTTTCTTTCTGTGTCAGCCATCATCACAGTGCGTAGGTTTCGAACGTCTATTAATAAACTCGACCACAAATGGGACTCGAATACACGATTCATTGCTAAAAATGCTGGAAAATGGTTGATTCCTTGAAATATTCCAGAAAGATTTACATGATAAAATATACCTGCATGCTGCGTCTTTACAAGAGACATTTGAGACCCCAACTGGAGTATTGCTGCTAAATCTGAACTAGGGCTGTGTAATCCTCACTTGCCAGTAATAATAGAGTACAAAAGTGTTTACGCGGGTGATTATTTTCGACTCTACAGTCCCTTTCCCCACAAGCGAAAAGTTGCTAATCTCTTGCAGATTCCCATATTATATTCATTTCTAGGCTTGGTCGGCTCAGGAGATTTTTGTGACTTAGAATATGTGCTGATTACTTACGTTTACGCATTTTCTAATGATGTTCTTTGTCTATGATTTCAACCTGATCCCACAGAAGGTTCAGTTCGACATTCCAGAAATATAGATAGATACTGAAGAAGGCCGAAACGTTGTGATAAATATGGTAACAAAGATGAGGATAATAGTCCGAATAATGAAAATAGTGTACATAATACCTCATCTCAGAAATATAGACAGATACTGAAAGGCCGAAACGTTGTAAAAAATATGGCAACAAAGATGAGTCTGAATAATGTAAATAGTGTACATAATACCTCAGCTCAGAAATATAGACAGATACTGAAGAAGGCCTGAGCGTACAACGGCCGAAACGTTGTAATAAATATGGCAACAAATATGAGGACAATAGTCCGAATAATGTAAACAGTGTACATAATACCTCATCTCAAAAATATAGACAGATACTGAAAGGCCGAAACGTTGTAATAAATATGGCAACAAAAATGAGGACAATAGTCCGAATAATGTACATAATACCTCATCTCAGAAATATAGACAGATACTGAAAGGCCGAAACGTTGTAATATGGCAACAAAAATGAGGACAATAGCCCGAATAATGTAAATAGTGTACATAATACCTCATCTCAAAAATATAGACAGATACTGAAAGGCCGAAACGTTGTAATAAATATGGCAACAAAAATGAGGACAATAGTCCGAATAATGTACATAATACCTCATCTCAGAAATATAGACAGATACTGAAAGGCCGAAACGTTGTAATATGGCAACAAAAATGAGGACAATAGCCCGAATAATGTAAATAGTGTACATAATACCTCATCTCAGAAATATAAACAGATACTTATATCGTTATTTTCATGTTCGGGCGTTCTACATTCCATCAATCGAGAACTTCACAGTGTAGCGATATCAGCTGATATCTTATTAAATGGAAAACGGCTGACTTGTCACAAAAACGGTTTCGGACATTTATTTTCTCCAGCCGTTATCCGTAAGTGATACTCTCCCTCTCTTGACAGAAAATAGTTCTCTAACGTATTCGTTCTAACTTTGAAATATTTTCTTTCTCTTTTGATTTTATGCTACTTGTTAATCAGTTCATCTTTTGTCCTATTAATTGTTTTATTCCCTTGTGTATATTTCCCTTATCGATGATGATTATTCGTTCTATTTCCTCGCACTTTTTGTTGACACGTTCCCCTTTAGCTTGCTTGCATCTGCTTCTGCTTTCTGCATTTTTCTTTAGTATGTGAGATTCCTTGACATTCTTTCTTGTCTCTTTTTCATCATCTCGATAATTAATCAGTCATCCACTTGTTTTCATGTGTCACCTTTTACTTGGGGGAATATCCATTCGCCGATTTCACTAGTGCTTCTCTCAATGTGTTCCACTCAGAAATTTTCCCTTTTATCTGCATTCTGTCATATATTCATTCAAACTCGTTTAATAGGTTACTCGCTGCAGCCGTAGATTTTTTTTGCTTTTAATATATTCGAAGTGTGTTTAATTCTCCAAGCCTCCTTTCTTCATTATGAGTCTCTTTCTCGTCGCTAGCAGCATTTTCCTTGCTGTCCCTAAAACTTTCTTGTTACTTACTGTGTCTGCGTTGTTCGTAGCATTCAGGTATAAAACAAAGACACCTTCACTTCAAGTCTGTTCTTTAAGTGTGTAAAAATTAAACATCATTCGCTGTATTAATTGTAAACAATCAAATTCAGTACAAGTACATGCATTAATCGTAAAGACTCGACGTCTACACGAGTATACTCAACATATTTTTTTAATGGCTATCTTCAGCGTGGGTGTTCTTGCGGAGGAGAGGGAACAGGTGTTGGCGGTGGCACTGAGGCGTGGGGGCGATAAGTATACATGTATTTGTGGATATTTACCAGTTTCTATTCTGAAGACGTACGCCCATTTTCTTTCTTCACTTCAGAGATATGAAATAAAAAAAAACATCAAAGGTTTTGTCTCACATTTCTAAAGCTTCGTTCAGGAAAGAAAAAAAAGAAAAATAGAAGAAAAAAAGAGCCAGGGTAAGTAATAAAATGTGTAGGAAAAAATATGTGTAAATAAGTATGGGAACACATTTTGCGTGTAGATCCGTCTTTGTGTTTATTCATGCATTGAGATTCTTACTCATCTTCGTCTGACACAGGGCCAGCATAATAGAGCACTGACCTAAGTTCATACAAGCAAGGTCTAGAGGATTTCTCTATCAACCAAAAATTAACGAACTAATTTTTCCTCGGGAATGACAATCTTATAAAAATAACAAATGAAATATACGACAGTGGTGAAATAACGGAAGACCTTAGTGTCTCAATCGCGTTGCCTAAGAAGCCAGCTGCAAATGAATGCAAGCTCCATCGGTAAATCTGCTTACTGAGTTACATAAGTAAACTCACCATAAGGATTCTGATGAAGGGAGTGTAGTAAAATTAGACCGGAAATAGAGCAAGGAATAGGTGGTTTTGCTAAAGACACGTAAACAAGAAAGGTGATATTTATGACTGGAATAATATCAGAGCGAGTAATAGAAAAGGAGAAAGGCATATATTTAGGCTTTATAGATTAAAACCAATTCTTTAATACGATATGACATCAAGATCTGCTTTAACTGCTAGGGAAGTTTCTTTTATTAGAGAAATATATTAGAATAAACCGGAACATCTAATGGGAGGAAATAACCTGTATATAGAGAAAAAATGAAAATAGTAATTAGAAAAAATAAAAAGGAATCTAAGAAATGTTTCGGTCTTCTCGCCGGATTTATTCAACCTTATATATATATGAAAGACATTTTTTATGTTTAACGTTGTTATTTATAGATACAAGTATTTAAGCAAATGCTCTGTTTATGATAAACAGTATTAAATAACATTTACCGGCCTGAATGTCCGAGAAATTTTCATAGAAAATATTTGTTCTTTGACAGGATTCGAACCTGCATCCTATACGGAACCGTCATTTACGCTTACGTGCCTTACCTCTGGGCTACAAAAGCCTTACGGTAGACAAGGTCGAATTTACTGCTTATAAACTTCAATCTTCCATGAATCTCGTACATTCATAACTGCTCTGGCGTATCAAATGTAAACAAATGACGTCATATATTAAGAAATGGACAAGGTCCGACAATTTATTTATTAAAGACATTTTTTATGTTTAACGTTGTTATTTATAGATGCAAGTATTTAAGCAAATGCTCTGTTTATGATAAACAGTATTAAATAACATTTACCGGCCTGAATGTCCGAGAAATTTTCATAGAAAATATTCGTTCTTTGACAGGATTCGAACCTGCATCCTATACGGAACCGAATCGAATTTACTGCTTATCATGGAAGATTGAAGTTTATAAGCAGTAAATTCGACCTTGTCTACCGAAAAGGTTCTTTGTAGCCCAGAGGTAAGGCACGTCAGCGTAAATAACGGTTCCGTATAGGATGCAGGTTCGAATCCTGTCAAAGAACGAATATTTTCTATGAAAATTTCTCGGACATTCAGGCCGGTAAATGTTATTTAATACTGTTTATCATAAACAGAGCATTTTCTTAAATACTTGTATCTATAAATAACAACGTTAAACAAAAAATGTCTTTAATAAATAAATTGTCGGACCTTGTATATATATATATATATATATATATTATGAGTCAAATAAAACTTTAACAAGGCTTACGGCCATTATCACGTTGAAACATAGGTTCTCATACGATCAGAGGAGTTAAGCTACCTCGAGCCTGGTCACTACCTAGATGGGTGGAGGCTTGAGAATACCAAGTGCTGTAAGGTTGGATGCGTGGTGGGTAATACATAACGGTTTGAAAATGGAAATCGAAAAGCCGAGTTGCAATTCTGGCCGAGATCGTCATATTCACATACGAGCAAATACCTTTTTCTTTCTTTAAGCATTTTACCCCTAGCAAGGCGGGAAGCCACTAACACGCAAGGGGTTATAGAGGATTTGGAGCGAGAGCGGATAGGAATGATGAGGAGAAGGATAGTGGATAGATCAAGTTAACTGGAGATGTCGATTGACATTACATTTGAATAGTTGGAGAATATAGCTATCAGGGAAACAGGAAAAGGGAAGGGAGTTCCACAGGCGAATGGTGCGAGATATGAAGCTATTGGAGTAGAAGAGGCGGCTACATTTAACAGTTTCAACAGTGAAAGGGTGAGAGCGGGACGCCAGCCTCGTAGGACGCTTGAATTCGCGAAGTCTGGGAACCAGCGAATCCACCTTTTCCCCGTAATGTGCAAAATATATTTATTTACTCTATCAATTTATAATTTTTCCTTCTTTTTTTTTTTTTTTTTTTGACAGGCTCTTTTAAAATCTGTTCTGTATATATTATATTTTACTTCAAATATTACTGTAAGACGATAAGCATTTTGAGAAAAAGCACATTTTACTATAACAAAAATCTAAAGCTTTTACGATTTTCAATTTAGCTCTTAATGATCATTATCTTAAAGGTTTGGTTTTGGTTTATTTTGTTTAACGGCATATCAATCTCAATGGGTTATTTAATGCCGACATCATTTTTAGGATAGATTCGTATGAATAGAATATGTATTCTTTGGTTTAGATTGGTTTGGTTTATTTTGTTTTACGGCAAATCAACTTCAATGGGTTATTTAATGCCGACAACATTTTTATGAAAGATTCGTATGAATAGAATATGTATTCTTTGGTTTAGATTGGTTTGGTTTATTTTGTTTTACGGCATATCAATCTCAATGAGTTATTTAATGCTGACAAAAATTTTTATTGCTGGGAATATTTTGTTTTGGCAAAAATCTGATTCTGCTAATATATTTCCTTCAAAGTTGTATTGCTGGTAATAATTTGTTTTAAAAAAGTATTGCTGGTAATAGTTAACTATTTGCCCATAGCTGGGACCTTAACAGGTGCTACCATCCCGGGGCATGGGGGGTGGCTAGGAACACCAGCAATTAAGAGGTGGTTCCACGCTCCTCAAAACCTCCTGATCAGACGCCTTGCTGCTGGACGTAATTTAACGTCTTACCCAGGACGCGGATCTAGTTTAATGTCTTACCCAGGACGCGGATCTAGTTTAACGTCTTCCCCAGGACGACATTATCTTAAAGGGATGAACTATCAAATAAACGGACTTAGTATATGAGCTAAGATCTACGTGACAAACGTTTGAAGATTAGCTATTTTTTTTACTAACAAGTCTGACACAGGGCAACCGTAACGAAGCACTAAACGAAGACTGCTAGCAACAGTCTGTGAGTGTCCGGTATGTACGAATTATTATATGTGTAAAATAGTAAGGCTACGTCTCTGTGCTAATATTGGTATACATATATTCATTCATTTCAGCAATCTAAAGCAAGGCCCAAAACTAAGTTCTGCAACCATCTTACGTGGTCATTTAATGCCGACATCATTTTTAAGATAGATTCATATGAATAGAATATGTATTCTATGGTTTAGATTAGTTTGGTTTATTTTGTTTTACGGCATATCAACCTCAATGGGTTATTTATGCCGACATCATTTTTAGGATAGGTTTCGTATGAATAGAATATGTATTCTTTGGTTTAGATTGGTTTGGTTTATTTTGTTTAACGGCATATCAACCTCAATGGGTTATTTAATGCCGACATCATTTTTAGGATAGATTCGTATGAATAGAATATGCATTCTTTGCTTTAGATTGGTTTGGTTCATTTTGTTTTACGGCACATCAACCTCAATGGGTTATTTAATGCCGACAACATTTTTAGGATAGATTCATATAAATAGAATATGTATTCTTTGGTTTAAATTAGTTTGTTTCTTTGTTTTTTTTTTGTTTTTTTTTTACGGCATATCAACCTCAATGGGTTATTTAATGCCATCATCATTTTTAGGATAGATTCGTGTGAATAGAATATGTATTCTTTGGTTTAGATTAGTTTGGTTTATTTTGTTTTACGGTATATCAACAACAAGAATGCGTCCAAGAAAATTTCCATTCGAAATTCATGATTTATGCCAACTATTAGTGAAAAAGGGAAAGTGCAACATTCAACAAATAAGAAAGTGCGTTTTATATATAGGGTATCCCAAAATTAACCCATGATCGATTACCAACGAATTTCTGCATCGAAAACAACCTTCTGAACTCACGGGACAACATCTCATCTCCTCCCAAGCCTGTCATGAAACCTAGATGATTGTTACCATTGCAAATGTTCAGGCGAGATTCATTAATTAGTTACACAAATTCAGAACTTTACAGCTAGAAAGCGACATCCAGCGCTCACAGAGTCGATTCATCTTCATTCTATTTCCACTGGGGCAGCTTACGAATCACTATTTTGTGAAACAATCTCCCGAGGGGATGTTTTCCCGTTCCATATCATCTTAACCTTTTCAAATCTAGCTTAACGTTATCTAGCTACATACCCTCATAATATGCACTTATTCCCTTCTCTTGCGTCCATGCATCAAACTCATTCGGTAACCATCTTACTTGAGTGGCGCTTGTGGCTTATAATGGATACTAACTTAAACATTACTAAGTTGCATCTTTTACTTCAAAAGATTGCCAGATTTAGTTGCAAATTCTAGACTGAGAGAATTTCTGGTGATATATGCATGTGCCTGCTCAGAGTTTTTAGCTTTATGTCAAACTTATCACTGTTACTAGGAAGGTAAGTAGCTTCAACGTGACGTCTTTCGTAATGTTGTCGAATGGCTGGCAAAATCGCCTACCTTAACTTTTCTTGATCTCTTTCTGTGAATATTCTTAAAGAATCTGGTTTATGATATAGAACCAGCCACGACAATAATCGAAATGTAGAATAGAAGAGATTACACGAAATGGATGACAGTCACATTAACCTCTTCCCCCGGTTCAATGTCATTTGCCTCCCTTTTGGAGAACAGCCTCACTATGTTTTCCGTAGGCAGTAGGTTTATACATAAATAATTTCCTACAATGGGAATATGACTGATGTGTCTCTTACAATCCATTTTTCCGATGTTATCAATTGCAAGAAGACATAATTCATGGTTGTTAGGAAAAGGAGCATCCCAACATGCAAATTACAAATTGAAGATACCAAAACCAAAGAATTTAAATACCTGGGTAGTGTTTTAACAGCGAACTAAAATTACGAACCAAAAATGCGAAGGCGCATTGGTATAATGAAAGATGTCTCTCAAAAGCTAAGCAAAGTATTAAAAAACAGAAAAAAATTTCATTTGAATCAAAAAAAAAATGTACTGAACTGTTACGTAATATCAGACCTCCTACAGAGCCGTGAATGCTGGATAATTTATCTCTCACAGATGAAGAAGAGACTTGAAGTAATCGAAATGCGGTTTTACAAAAGGATGCAAAAATGCATTAAACTGGATATGTGTGCACCAACAAAGTTTCAGAGAAAATTGAAACGAAAATGACACTTATACTTAAGATCAGGAGAAGACAGCTGGAATTTCTGGGGCATATAATGAAGAACGACGGTTTGGAAAATTTGATACTCACAAGACAGATTAGAGACAAGAAGGATAGAGGAGAACAATACATAACATGCCTAGCCAGTTTGAGTAAGTGGACGACAGAACAAGGTTTTGGAAATATAACAAAAAAAATTGCTAAAATCTACAAAAGATAGGAAATTGTGGAGAATCATGATCGCCAACGTCCTGTAGGGATACAGTACATGAAAAATAAAACGAAGAAAGAAGTTGTTTGAATTTGTTCTATTTTTAAAGTGATGAAATATATCTCAGTGGTCATCAAATCTAACAACTGGTTCCCAGACTTCGTGAATTCAAGCGCCCTACGAGGCTGGCACCCCGCTCCCACCCTTACACTGTAGAAACTTTTAAATGTAGCCGTCTCTTCTACTCCAATAGCTTCATACCTCACACCTCTCGCCTGTGGAACACCCTTCCCAATTACTGTTTGCCTGAGAGCTATAATCTCCAACTATTCAAATGTAATGTCAATCGACATCTCCAGTTACCTTGATCTACCCACTATCCCTCTCCTCGTCCTTTCTTTTATCACTCCTATCTGCTCTTGCTCCAAATCTTCTGCACCCCCCCTGCATCCTAGTGGCTTCACGCCTTGCTCGGGGCGTAATGCTTAAAAAAATCTATTTTAAAGCTTCAAATTCAAGACCTGACTAATATGGTGATACTTTAAAATTTGATACATTCCATACATCGGCAGACAATGCGCCTATTTTCATACTCATCTGAACCTGGTTTTAATCCTAACTGGGTAAATAGATATTGACATCATTCATCAAATATACTTGAGATTCCAATAAGCGTTTATTTGATATATTGATAAAACATGAAGTCAATAATGGATTCTACAGAATAACATTAAAAAATAAGCAGACTGATTAGGCATATGAGCCAGGACGGATTTTGGAATAAATAAAGACAAAAAGAACTTCGGGGTCGAAGCAGCTTTGTCAGCAATCGACAGAGCGCTAACTTTACCTTACACTACCCCAAAACATTGGTAGTTTTCTATCGCACTCTTGCAAGGTCAGATCCATGAAGATGCAGCCACTGCCTTGTCTTCATATCTTTTATATTTTCTGTTGGCCGCTATCCGAGTTTAATTCGGCTGGAATATAGTCGGCGATAAAACTTTAGTATCCGACTTCGATAGGAAATATATTGATCGTCTAACAATTTCTTGGATATTTCTCTTGTAGAACTTCATATATTTTTTTTCAATTTTTATTTATGTTCCCAGCAGTGTTGATGTTTTCCACCAAAGAAACGGTTTATTCAGCCACGT